GGGGGGACGGGGGGACCCCGGCCCAGCCAGCCCCAAGGCGCAGCTGGGCTCTGTGCGTGCCCCGCTTTCACTAAAACACCATTTAGCTCCACAGTCAGGGAGAAAAGCAGCAAAAGAGGCATACAAACGTCCAAAAGCCCTGTGCTGGTTAAAGTCAGGTGAGTTAAGCAGCCCTTTGGCTCTGTCGGACCCGGCAGCCGCGAGGAGAAGGGCCAGCTGTGCCCTCGCTCCGCGCGGAGCAGCGCGAGGCTGCGGGCAGCAGCATCACCTCCGTGCCGGCACCAGTGCTTCTTTGCGCAGAGGGACTGTTTCCCCCCTGCCCTGCTCTCCTCCTAGGGAGCAGACAAGCATTTGCCCCTGAGATCGTTTCTGTTTCAAACTCTCCCTGGCACTGCGGGGTCAGTTATTTTCCCAGCCTAGTGCAAATTCATTAATTTCTTCAGCTGAACTCTGCCGCACAAGACAAATTCTTCCTTTGCAGGCGGAACAGTTTCACAAAGCAACTGCCAAGGAAATCAGAGAGGGGAGAAGTGAGGAGAGAACAGAGGAGAGAACATCAGTATCTTAACCTTTGACAAAATAAGATAATTAAGGATAATTACTTACTCCAGAAGAGCAAGTAGCTGCAGAGACACCCAGGAGCAGGCTTACCTTGTGAGGTCTATGCTTCTCGTGAACGTGGAGAATATGGATCCTCAGCCTGTCTCGTTTTTCAAAGGATCGGTTACAGAGGTGGCAAGGAAATTTTCTGTCCCCCTGGTCCACGCAGCGAGTGTACTTGAGGTGCTTGTCCCGGTAATACTTGTACGCAAAAACCTTGCCGCATCTCTCGCATTTATAGCTCTCCCCGGCTTCTGTAGAGCAGAAGGGAAAGTGCCATCGCTCCGTTATGCTGCAGTTAAAAGGTGTTAAAACTTTCAAACCCGACTCTCTTTCAGAGCTGGTGCCCAACTGAGAATTGTAGGTCTTCACAAGGGTAACAATGTTAAACGGATTCTGGCAACGTAACTCACAAAATACAGGTTGGATCTGGTAAGCAAACACAAGGCTCCACTTGCCCTTACATTTTCTCTCTAACGGAAGGGGACACACAAGAGTCCCGACGCTAACGAAATTATTGTGCTTAGCCGCTGTCTTCAGCAAGGGCAAGATTCCAGCCTTGCATCTCCATAAACGGGCAGTGAATACAGGGAAGAAGAGCTCAGCTGCCTGCAACATAAAAGGGTGTCCCCAAACAGAAGCATTGCTAGGCATTTATTATCAATAGCGCCCCTAAATTTCACTCCCCGTTCTAAAAAGAAAAACCAATCTGCATATCTTTTCTATGATTTTCAAAATACTGTAAAACAAGAACACTTTTTTTTTGTTTTCTTTTGTATTTTGATCTTAACCATTGAATCTGGAAACAACATAGGACATTTTGCAAATGTTTAAACATCCTTTTCTGCCTCTTCTACAATGCAAAAAAGTAAGTTTGACTTAAACCTTGAAACAAAATCAGCAATTTACCACCTATCTGGACTAGGCACCTTAAAACAACAGCTTCAAAAATCTCCATGCAGCGATTTGCCAAACTCTTCTTTCTTACTCCTGCACATAGCCAACGCATTCCTTGACAGCTCCAGCTTTTTCTGTATTTGCACAAATCTGTTTTCTTCATACATAAGTTTTACTGATGAGAATGTCACATTTTCTGTATATTTTAAGCACAGTGCTCCTGAAGAAAGTACTTTTGGTATCTTCTGCAAGCAGCATCAGCCTTATCGGATTGGAACGATTTCAGCCTGCCCCATATACAAAGAGCATTAACTGCATGAAAAATGCCATGAAGTCAGGTGTGCGCAACTGTACGATTAAAATCGGACCAAAACAGGAATGCTTTTTTTTTAATGCCCAAAAGCCTCTTTCCTCTGCAAACGCGGCCCCCTGGAAGAAAGGCTGCTGCAGAGCAGAGAAAAGATCAGCCGCTCGCTCTACCATTCCCCAGAGCGCTGTCAACCAGCGTCAGATGTTTTACAGTCATCAAATTACCACTTTTTACTCCCAAAGCAAACAAAAACTAGCTGCAAGCTGCAGAGAAAGGGGTGTGCAGTTCAAGGGAGAGCTTTGCTCAGAGCTGCTAGCAGCCCTCAATACCGATATCCCGCCTCCCCGGCGCCTAGGGTAAGGCGCTCTTTTGGGATGCTGGAGGTTGGGTGAGCAGGCAAGGACACGCGTTTGAGCCCCAGGATCGCAAGGACATTGCTCGCGGCATGGGAGTGGGGCAGCCCTGGCCACCCCAGAGCATCCCGGAGTCCTGCAGCTTGCAGGCAGAGGTGTCACCCCACAACAATCTCATCACAGGGACTGGGAGGTGCTCAGAGTAAAATGCGCCTGAAGAAAAATATGATGCCAGGGTCTTTTAAAGCACCGGCAAGTCCCCTAATAGGAGTCTAATCATGGCAGGACACATATCCAAGGGGCAGATGGGTTACGACCCTCCTAGGGATTTCTCCATAGCCTCACCTTCAGCTTGCTGCTGAGGTCTCTTCCCTTCTGGCATGCCCTTCAGGCTGATGGGGATGCCCAAAAACTGCACATAGCAATCCCCGTACCACACCAGCAGCTCCTGCTTCGGTAAGATTTCTTTGCAGCTTTCGTAGAAGATTTGTCCCTGGCACTGAATAGCTGTCAAATTCTGCTCCTCGGGGAACCTGGCACAATTTACCAGGGCCATCCAGTTGCCTGCGGCTCCCTTCCCGTCTATGAAGTGGCTCAGGCGCCCGTATTCAAAGATCTGGGGAGCAAAGGAGAGACCCAGATCAGGTTTGAACCCTTCCGAAAGGGTCCTGCTTGCACCGATCCCACCACCCAGACAAGGTCCAGCTCCTGTTGCAGGCTAGGGGAGAAGGGCAGCCAAACGCCTCTCCAATTTCGGCAGGTGCGGCGGCCAAGCGGCGCCCCTACCCCCGGGGCGCGGTGCCGGGGGCGCCCCGTCCCGGCGCGCCTCCTCTACCTCCCCCATCCAGGAGGTGTCA